AAAAGTACGCAAGTTTTGTTAACATTCAGGAAGACTAAGTCTACTCTTATTTATGCAAAGGTGAAGGGAATAGCTGGATGCAGAATCTGTCATGTAATACAAGGAAGAAGTGAACAGCCTCACAAAGTGTCAAGTGTTCACAGCAGAAGTGTGTCCAATGGAGATAATAGCTGATGCCTCTACACTGCATCATAACACTGCCCTTCTGGAGTTCTCTTGATTATTATTAGTACACATCATTCCAGAGAGCCAGTGGAGAAGTTTGTACAAACCATCCAAACACAGGAATATACGGGGGAAAAAACTTTTTTTACTTAAAAAAAAAAGGAAACAATTGTTTGAGTATGTGGGACGGGAGTCATGTTTCTACAGGTATTTTAGTTACATAAGTGTTATGACCCCTGAGCCCCACTATATAACTTACTGCTGTGGAGCTGAGTCAGCAAAGGCGGGGATCAGCTCATGATCCTATGAAGATGTAGAGGATTACTCTTACAGCTCTGTTTTCGTCTGCACAGTACGATACTCTCGGACTGAATTCCCATTTCCACCTTTTCCTCCCATTTGCCTGCCATGTTGCTCCACCAGGACTTATTTATAATATGACTGAGCTATTATAGCAGCTTTCATACTGGGCTTACATTCTCCATCCAGCACTTAATGGCTGTGTGCTGTTGAGCAAACTACTTAGTGTGTTTAAGTCTTAGTCCTCTCATGTTCAGGTGAGCCCTTCCTCACCTGAAAAACAATGAGGGGAAATCCATAGCCTATCTCATGTGGATGCCATGGGGATTAAATGAGATAACGCACCTAGCATTGTAGATGCTTAGCAAATATTTTCTCTTCCATCAAATATCTCCTTCCTTCCAATTTCTTCCTAATACACTCGTTTAGTGTATCATGGCTGGCTTAATCTTTGTAAAAATTAGATATGTTTCACTCATTAATCAAAATTTTTAATATGTCCTAATTTCCCAGACTTTTCAGTTAATAATTCAACCATTCCACAGCGAAGCCCGATATGTTTTAATGCATTAGCCAAACCGAATGACTGGATTATTTTGCCACTCTGTGTCTCTCTCTTGCACTTTCCTATCTCAGGACCTTCCATACTTCCACACTCCTTCTCTACTCTCTAAAATCTGTGTCACCTTCCTATTGATCTCTCCATTTCAGCAAGTCCACGGCACTGTGCCAGGTCTCTCCTCCTGACCTTCCAGGGCAGATATGAACAGTGATGGGATAGTGCCTGCAGTTACACTTCATTTAACTTCTACATTATCTCTCCATATATGTTTCTAACGGCATGCCCTATGTCCACCTTTGATTCCCCCGTGGTACAGGGATAGAACTTTATAGACGATAACATCACTTTTACTATCTGTGGACTGGATTCATAAGTGGATATCCTGATTACTTTACTATAACAAGTTAGCTTGAAAGGACATCTATACTTGGCTTGAATATCCTTTTGAATTTTGAAACACATACTACTATCAAAACAGATTTTTAAAAAAGGCAGGAATTGACTAATACCTTCAAAACACACGTGGCTGCACCTCGTCCATATGGATAATAGGTTCACACAAAAACATTTTAAACACATAAAACATTAAAGCATTGGCAATGTCAACGAGCCAAGTTTCTTTATACTAATTCTTGCACTAAAAGTTACTTCACAATACTCAAATACTGTATATCCTACATGTAAAAATTATTCAACTTGAATTTCTTTCTCGGAAAAAAAAAATGTTACTAAGCGTTTGGCTATGTCTAAAAAAAAAGAAAGCTTCTTCTGTCACCGTAAAAGATATTCTTGATCATTAGCCAATATTTCTCTCAAATCAAGACTTTTATCACTAATAACTCTTAATCTATAAGTGTTTTAACAAAAGTACACAAGATGTTATAGCTACATCTTACATTATGCAATGAGCAGCTCCAAGAAACTGTTTCACATGAATGGAATTTCTATAAACCCACGAAGTACTCTGAATGCATTCGCTATCAGAATTATTTAATAATTATGTAGGAAATAAGGAAATTAAATAATCACTAATTTATTTGATCTATAAATTTAGATTTTCATGTAGCAGGTTTGCTTAAAGTGGTGCCAAATGTACCTTGAATCTTTCTCAGTGGATAGAATATTTTATTTTATTCATTTTTCCCTATATGCCAAAGCTGCCCTAAATCATTTTAAGAGTTACTTTTTCTTTATTCCTAGCTACCTTAATAAATCACATAATAGCTATCCATTTCATATATTTTTAGCCATATCTAAAACTTATCTCCATCCAAGAAGGATATGAAATACAATCAGTCAAGTCATCTTAGTTTTAACAGGTTCATGCTAGTTAAATGTCAACTTATCAAAGAATTATTTTTTTTTCTCTGAATTTGTATTCTAACAAGAGACCTAGTTACGGAAAAATATTTATATATAATGCTCATTAGGTAATTTAATTCTACTAATAGGTCTCAACAATTCAATTCTAATAATAGGTAGCAAACTCATTAGTAGTAAAAGCAGGTTATGGCTTTAAGCTTCCAAGTTAATAAAATCCACACACTCACATGCATATTAGACATGCTATTTCAAAAGAAACAGATTAGTATTAGGCACCCAGATTTAAATAGCAGGCAAGTTGCTTCTCTCCAGTTAAGAAAAATTAAAAGCAAAAAAAAGCTTTCACTCCAATCCCTTCCTCTAAAGATACCTGAATCACTAAGCGCTTCCCCATCAATAAAGTTGTCACCGAACTGTTTAAAAGCTGTTAAGAAAGATGACCCCAGAAAACAAAATATGATGCGCATATATGGATGCTAAAAATTAGCTGGCAAGTGTTAGGAAGGAACACAACATTATTATAATACTTGGAACTACTACTTTTGGCCATTATTAATTTATTTATACTAATACAGTGACCAAACGTGCTCATTCTTGTCGTAAGTTCTTACAAAAGCTGAGATACGTCGGTGCCTGTTACCAGTAGGTGAACAAATTGATTCCAAATAACATCTCAAGTGAAGTTTTACTTTATGGTTCTATCTTGAGGAACCTAAAAATCTGCTTCTAATATTTCTTAGTAAAAGCAGTTATTATTGACACTAGTACTACGATCGATGGCAATAATTTTTCAAACATATACATTTGACCAAAAGCTGTACTCTTGAAATTTGGTTACATGCTTCATTACGTACCTCATTAGCTGCATGCATGATTTTTTGGCAGTGATATTTTTGTTCAAGGAAAGTCAGCTGCTCTAACTGAAGTGGAGGTAGGGAGCAACACACTCCCTACCCCATTGGGTATTACATTCCAATACCCCATCCTCCCGCCAGGCAGACCTGGTGCTCCTTTTAGAGCCCTAGCCTCTCACACTTTGAAATCCACCACCTTAGACACTTTTTATCAACTCTAAGACTATACAGGTCATATGCAATGACTTAATCAAATTCTTATGTTGAATTAGTATGACTTACTAATTTTAACCTTATCTAAGCCTCCTTTCCTCTGGACTTAAAATATATTCTGTTCATTGCAACCAATCAGAAACAGAGATTGCTCGAGATACCATTGAGAAAGTATACTTTTAAGGGCTTTAAGAGTCACTTTGAAAGTGTATTTTAACATAATTAAAACATACATTAATAATAATTGTATTATCAGGCAGATTTTTTTTTCCACAGTTGGCCAATTTCCAGTGCCTTTCCACTTTTCCAGTCCTGTCATTTAGTAACACATTAAAGATAATACCCATTGAAAAAATAGACTAATTGCTATCCTCTCTGCCCCAAATGGCAAAAGTGTATGTTCTGAAACAAGGGTGAAAAAGTGATTTTAAATGTTAAGATGCTGTCACTCATACTCACTGCACCAGCTTAGTCCCTGAGAAAAAGGATGGCTTGCTTGTCTTTGTGTAAGAGAGTGACAGATGTCACAGAAACTGAATAAAATTCTTACCCTCCTCATCAGAAACATCAAGAACCTCAGTCATCGTCTCAGGAACATTTAGCTTGTGTTTTTCCGTAATAGTCTGCAAAGGAAAAAAAATCATTAATATGCAAGTTAAATTCCAACACAAAAGAATCACAGAGGAGGTCACATGGACAGCCTCAGCAAGCCATCCCTCCCTGGGCATTTCATCTTCCCACATGCATGTTTCGAAGCTTCTTTTCTTATTCTCTTTCATGAAAATTCCTTTGTTCTTTCTGAAGATATACGATCATTGACTCCGGTGAAGTTGTACAAGAGGAAGTTCATTATTTTGAGTACCTTTTTGAAAATAAATTCTTTAGCAATGGCATTAATAATTAGTCATATTGAGAAAGCAGATTAACATTTTCAGGGCTTCCCTAAAACAAACTGAGTGATGTCTCCAGAAAAGCTTTAAAAAGAAGCAATGAACATATGTAATTTGTTAAAAACAAAGCCATCGGAAAAGAAGTTGTAAACAAGGTGAAAGACAAACTGGGCAGAAAATGTGACGCATGTCTTCTGAGACCAGAGGATCCATGGGTCTATGGTTCTGGTTTGTCGCTTATATGCCTTCCACCAAAGCACTCCAGAGCTGTCAAGGCCACTGCCTTCCATTCCTGATAGGCAATGGAAGGTTAAGAGACCAGGTTCTGAAGACTGGCTACCTGGGTTCAAATTCTAATTTCATCATTTATTAGCTATGAGGCACAATTTCCCTGATATCTCTGTGCCTCAATTTTCTCATGTGTAAAACAGAGATAATAATACTAGTTCGTAAAACTGTTATGAAGATTAAGTGAAATAATATAAATAAGAGTTCTAAGAACAGTGCTTGGAACATGTTAGCACTCAAATATCTGCAGGCATAACATCGTTATTATAACTGTAATTCAATACTAAATTCATCCTAAAATTGAAGAGGCTCTGAAGTTTTTAGTCATTCAAGGCACTCAAGAAACATTTAGAATGCCTACTGCATACCAGGCACTATTTCAGACATCAAGGATATTACATATTAAAAAAAAAAAGACAAAAATCCAATCTCACTACTTGAAATATCACCTAAAGACAGTCAAGTCTCAAGCTCATATCTCTAGTGTCTGCATTGAAAATGTATTAAGTGCATCGACTGGCATTTTAACAGGAACTCTACCTAAGTCAAATTTTTAATTAAAGCCACTAAAATACAAGAGTAAACAGCTTGTCTCAGGATTTTAAACTTTGCTACATAAAGAACAGACTTGTTTTAATGGCTACAATGGCCCTATCACCAGTTCTTTTCTTTCCCAAAGCAGTAGAGAACTTCAAATATGTTTACAGGGTAAGTCAACTAATTTGAAAATATATTCACATATACATGTATATCTGTGTGTCTAGAGGGACTGATGAAATCACAATGCGATACTACCTGCCCTTTCAGTGGTCCTGTATCTCCTCCGAGAAAAAGCAAGACAAAGTGGCTCAGAAGAGCCAGGTATTGCAGAAAGGAGAGGCAGGAAGGCCTCATCTCTCACTCCATGTTACAGTCATGTTCACAGGTAACGTTCTCTTATACCTCTAAGTTTTTCCATGTATTCTTTCCTCTACCAGAAACGTTCTTCTCCCTCTTTTCTTGGGCTCATATTAGAAGTAACTTCCATGGAGATACATTCCCCAATCCTCCCTGATGAATTTATTTTTAACTGTGACTATTTGCTGTTATGTACTGTTACAACTACATCATACACAGCTGTATGTGCCTTTATCTGCTCCCGCAGAAGAGTGTGGGTCATTAACGATATGATTGTTTCCACAGAACCTGAAACATAGTTAAGTGCTTCTCAAATACACACTGAATAAACCAATGATACACAATTATGCAAAATATATTTTGAATCCACATAACCACTGAATAGACTTTCTTTTGGGTGACAAAACAGTTAAAGAATGGGAAGAAACTGAGAAGTCAGTCTCATGTCATCCCAATGAAGCCACAGTTGAAGATTAAAGTCCTAAATTCAGCTTTCCTGCATGTTGCAGATGGTGTTTAAAGAATTCCATAATGTCTTATTCACCAAAAACAAACTAAACTTTAGGAAAAACAAAAGCACCCATTCAAAATTCTGGATAATAACAGGTGGTCAATAAATATTTGTTAAATGAACAAACTTAAGAAGACTATCATTTACTTATTTCTATATTAGTTTATAAATTTAACATGAATAGATTAAAACCTATGTTTTATATCAAAGGTTTTCAACTCTAGCTGCTAATTAAAATCAGAGAAAATTTTAAAGCACTGTCACTTGGATCCCATTACAGAACAATTAAATAAGAACCCCTGAGGGCCCAGCTATGAGTATTTTTATTTTCATTATTTTTTAAGCTTATTTATTTTGAGGGAAATTGAGAGAGACAGAGAGAGCATGCAATTGAGCAGGGTTGGGGAAGAGAGAGAGAGAGAGAGAGAGAGACAGACAGACAGACAGACAGACAATAGAGAGAGGATCCCAAGCAGGCTTTGCAATCATGGTGCAGAGCCTGACAGAGAGGCTCTATCTCACAAACTGTGAGATCATGAGTTTAACTCAAGAGTCAGAGCTCAACTAAGCCATCCAAGTGCCCCAACTATGAGTATGTTTAAAAAGCTGTTCAGATGGGTCTATTGTGAGCTCAAAATGGAACCCATTTGGAGAAGCGTACAAATTGCAAAAAGTGATTTGCATTTAAAATAGAGGAAAGAGACAGTGACATCCTATTAAACTATGATATTCTATTTTTAAATAAGATTCTCAGTGTAAATTATTTAAAAATGTGAAGGGATATCTACTGTACTAGACTACACCAGAAAGTTTATTTTGCAGAAATGTTCTAGAGTATTTGCCCTTCAGAGGTCACGTTCCACAAGAGGATGCTTCTGTATTTGAAAATAAGCGACAGAAATATTTTTTAAATGATGAAGTTAACTTGCCCAATATTCTTAGTTTGTATCTTCAGACACTGATAATAGGACCGTATTTTCTTTGAATTTCTAAGAGTGGAAATAGCTTTGCTTTAGTTTGGTCATTGAATACTACAAAGTTATTATCAGCAAATATAGGTGGCAATCAAAAATTAACACACAGTGATCACATTGGTCATAGATATTTTTCTGTAAATATAGTAAAAATGCCCTCCACATGCAATGTAGTCAATATAGTATGCATTTGTTCGTGATGTAGTGCTTGACCTTTAGAAGGCCATCAATAAATACATGTCAAATGCACAAATAAGCCCTCCTACTTATGAGTAATAAGAAATGAATACATATTTCCCTTTAAAAAGAAGTGTCCTTTGAAAACTTGATTATCAAAACATAAATATATGGTTTCATACAAATGCATCTGAAAAGTACATAGAAAACAAGGATATAATTAAATGATCACGGGCTTCTCCTCCTGCTATAGAATCTAAGATTCTGTAGTCAAGATTAGAAACCACTCCAAAGTTAAAATGGTGCACAAGGCACAAATTTAATCCTATGTAATTAAATGAGATAACATGGCAATATAAACAGGATATGATAGATGGAAGGCTTAACAATGAGTTTTTAATATGCACTATGATGTGGGAAAGATGTAAAAAATAAAACAGGCGTCCTTAACGTGCTCTTTTGTGAATAATAGATAATATCTGGTTTCTTTTAAGCAAAAGAAAGTGTGTTTCACTGACCTCTACTTAGCTCACATCCCTTGTCAACCATTTCCTTTGTATCACATACTCACCAAGTCACCACAGCACGATGAGTGGTCTTGGCTAGTATGCCACCTTCTAATGCCCACACACAATGGCTCCCATCAGTGGAGCTACGGGCTAAATTTGGTTTTGTTCCCAAACCTATTTATACCAATTGTACATGTTAACAGAATGTCTGTAATAATTTAAATAGTATGTAAATAATATTTTTCTATAAAAACTAATGAAAATGGTTTGGAAATCTCAACATAGGTGAGTCACCAAAAATAAATGCTACTCAGGTGTGGCTGAAACAATTATACAGAAGATTAGAAAGAAAAAAAAAAGTATGTCAAAAGTTTAAAAAGGTTCTGCACTCAGCATAGTGTTGCTTTATGATAATATACTTTGCTTTAAGTATACATTGCTTTAAGATAATATACTTGATAATGTTTAAGCTTTAAGATAATATACGTTGCTTTAAGATAATATACTTGATAGTATTTAGATCAAGATATAGTTATCAAGATATAGATACTATCTATTAAGATATATCAAGACATACTATCAAGATATAGATATAGGATATATACACAAATAAAACATAGTATGTCATAATGTTTTTTTGCGCAAGAATGATCATTTAGCCTTCTTCTAGTCAATGGACCTGTATTCAAAAAAAGATCTTGACTCCACCTCAAAAGGTGTCATATAACTTCAAATGGATTTATTGCATTGCTGTTGTTATGATTCCTGTTTGAAATGACTTACAGCATTAGATAAGATTTAGGACACTGCATATTTACATTTCCTTAATTTCTTGTCAAAAATTTCCCCAATGTTTAAATGCTAATGTAAATATAATGTCATTTTTATTTTAGTAGCTTATTCAGTAATTTATGATGTCATTGTTATTTTAGTAGCTGAATCAGTAATTTTTAGTCTACACAACAGTGATCATATGCAACTTAAAACATGATCATTTCTGAAATTATGTAAATAACACAAATAATCAATGACAGCTGATCATAAGTAGAGGGATGAGTCATAGCTCAGTCTTCCAAACTGCTTTAGGTAATTGAGCTTGTCGGTTTCTGATGCCAGAAATGTGTCCCCCACACTTGGATGTCCATTCTGGCAAACATACAATGATTGTATTCCTGGGAGAATGCTAAACTGCCTCATATCCCCCACTGGGTCTTACAAAGTGAAGTTAGAAAAGCAAAGGTTAAGGAAACAAACCACAACTCCAGAATGTCTCAGAAATTTCTGAAGCAGTGGCTTCTCCCTTACAGACTGCCGCCTTACTCTTCTCTCTACACAATGACTTTATTCATACTTTGGGGGAAAGAACTCTGGAAGGAGGATTAGCATGGGAAACTTTCTTTCATGGAAGAGAACTCACATGGCTGCTCAAATGGCACATCGTATGAATCTACTTATGTGAAATTTGTACATTTGTTGTGTAGCTGTAATTCAACTGTTACACTTAAATGGTGGTAACATTAAATTTAATTTTATTAATTTTACATAATTATTAAATGGTCTCTGCTATTTGCCTATTCACCAGTGAGTAGTTCCAAATTGTCCTTAGTGAATCTGCAGACTTTAGAAAATAACATTGAATATGATACCTCCAGGAAAATCAACAAAGAACACTATTTAAGTGGGTTGTTTTTAATAGAAAATAAGGTGAAAACACTTCTTTTAAAAGAAAATTTTAATGTTTGTTTATTTTTGAAGGAGTGAGAGACAGAGCGTGAGCAGGGGAAGGTCAGACAGAGAGGGAGACACAAAATCCGAAAGGAGGCTCCAGGCTCCGAGCTGTCAGCACAGAGCCCGACACGAGGCTCGAACTCACAAACCGCGAGATCATGACCTGAACTGAAGTCGGATGCTTCACTGACTGAGCCACCCAGGCACCCCTAGATTAAAATACTTCTTTCACAAAATTCATGTTAAGCTACTTTTAGTAAAGTCAAGATCAGTTATGTCAGAGTGATTAAGAACATGGTCTTCAGAATTTGACAACCTAAATTTGAATCCTAGATCTACCCTCAATGCCTGCCATATCTGTAATCGCTAAATATTAATTTTTAATATCATTAAAATTATGTTAACATGTGATAACATGCTTCACATAACAATATGTGAAAAAAGTATGAATGAAAATCTCTTCCTAAAGAGAGGAAGTGCAAAGTAAGAAGGCCCGCATAATAAACAGGAATAAGTTCGTATTTTCAATCCTTAATCCCAAATTCCATTTCACGAAACAATAAAACTCACAATTCTAAGAGAAGAATTCAATACTGAGAGGCAGAAAGCAAAAATAGGGCAGGATCAAAACATGTTACCAATAAAACTAGCCATTTAGATAAAGGGGGTACTTGTTTAGTTAATGTAGGCAATGACTTCTCATCCCAACTAAAAACAAACATGCTATTATGTTTTACATTTGTTTGTTGGCTTTTTACCTAGAAACTTGATTTCTAAGTATAGTGGTCGTTATTGAGGAAATGCTCAGCTAGGCAGTGTAAAGAATCATAGTTACCAGAAAAGATAAAAAGCTCACAGCTCTAAGAGTAGTTTTCGTATTCCACTAGAGCTACATGTGGTAGAGATACAACCACATGTCTAATTTCTGAAAGGTATCTGAACTTGTTTAGTGATAGCATTTAGCAAGCTAATTGCTCCTGTTTTCAAATATAGAACTATACAGTTAAAATAATTCACTCTAAGTAATATTTATGAGCCTAGAATCCCTTTGAAACCAGACACGTAAGTCCCATAGTTCTGTTGATGTTAAGGAAGAATTTATACTCTTATAAAACATGCCTCATTCTCCACTCCCATTAAACTGTAAGCTGCTGGTTGGGGAGGGGAGGGGAGGGGAGGGGAGGGGGTTGGTGGTGGTAATGTTTTCACCACTAATGACTCTTCAGTACTCAGCACAGACCCCAGGGCATATTTTTTATCTAATAAATATTGAAAAAATGAGTTACTTAAAGAAATGAATGGAAAAGCAGATCAAATAGAAAAAAAAAAAAAAAAAAAAAAAAAAGCAAGCTTGCCATCTAGTGGTCACTTGATAAAAATGTATGTACGTGATAACCAGAGCATGGAAAAGCTAATAAAGTTGACAGAAAACATGACTTCTAAGAATTGATGTGCTTAGCCACTAAATCTTGCCACTAAAGCCTTTACTTATCTGTGATTTATACATTGTTTCAAAGTTTCCAAATAAAGACACATATTATAGGTTCCTAATATGAAGATTTTCCTCTTCTAGTAATCATCTAGTAAGAAAAAGCCATTAAGATTCAGCCACACATAACAATTGAGAAGTATAGTGACAGGCAGTGACAAGACTTGTTTTTTCTCCTATATAATTTATTGAAGCTATACCTTAAATCTTTAAACAAAATATTGTGGTGCACTAGCTGAAGGTTTTAAGATTCTGCTTGAGAAAACAAGCAGTACTATTCTCTCCCATCTAAATTCAGGCTGTGTCTTGCAGTTCATTAATAAATCATACTCCACTCTATTTAAAATTTCACATCAAACCAACTGTATTCCATCTACCTCAATGTTGACAGGGGCTTGGTGTCAGTCTGAAGAATAAAATTCCTTTCTTTTTCCACATATCTATCAAAATAAACAAGTGTTCTAAAACCATATGCATCATTGCTCGCTTAAGACATTTACTAGAACCCCATCCAGACTTTTTTTGTGTTGATTTATGATCTTATTGTCTCTAAAGAACATCTAATGTTCTACTGTTGCTCTATTTTTCTATTTTAAAAAGAAATTAAAGAGCTGTTGTTCTTAGAGTTCATGCTTAAGAAAAAAACGTTAAGAAGTAAGTTCAAAGAGAATAGCACTTCCACTTTCGGCTGTGAGTCTCCCTCTTCCGAGGCCTCCGTTAAGCTTTGCTCCAACTGAATAGTAAGAGAGCCTTACAACTCACTATTACCATAGCCTTCACTCTCCTAGAGTTTCTCTGGCAAACGGCAGTGATTATCACCGCTTCTCCTAAAGAATCAGCAATCATATTCAAAGGAATTAAAAAAAAATTAAGCATATATATACTCTGTCATGATACAGATATAGTTTACCTACTAAGTACAATCAATTTTCTTTTTCAGTAAAGGAATAATCAGAAATAAGAAAGTGAGGATGAACTGTTCTCACGGGAATGCATTTGATCCAGTCATGAGCCCAGCATCTGGAGGTTGAGGGTCTTTCCAGAGGCTGGAGTGACCTCATGGCTAAGATCAGAAGTTTGCTGTGGAGTGTCCTACAACTGTGCCCGCAGTAGGTGTCACACCCAACTACAGTGAAAGGGCAGAGCAGCGAAACGACAAAGAAGTCAGTCCGGGGCGGTGGGGGGTGGGGGGGGGAGAACTAAATATAATAAAATTATGTTTACATTTTATATGGGTTGATGTTAACTAGAGGAAGCTAAAACCCCTGTATCCATTGTGTAAATGTATTTATTACATCTGCATACTTCTATGTTCTGCAATATAGTCACCAAAAGAAGTTCAAAAACCAAAAGCTCAACACGTTTTATACGTGAAAAGTGTGTGGCTTGAAAACCAACACAATGGAGCCAAAGCCCATCAGTTCCTTTTACTCACCGTGGTGGTGGTGGTGACCTCCTCCGTTACAACCTTCAGGGTGTCGACCACGGAGATGTAGCCCAGACGCTTAGCAATCGCCAAGGCAGTGTTGCCATTCTGGAGACAGTGAAAGAGAGAAAGAGTGAGAACTGAGAGGGAGGACTGCGCCGTGAGCCAATGAGCTCACCGGCTGCTCCGCATGAGCCAGCATTTCCTTCCAAAACAAGGCACAGCTTAGGAAAATCACTAGTTTTTACCATTACAGCTGAATCTCTTTGTAACTTCTTTAGACTATAGCCCAGGTCACCATGGTAACACAACAAGCTGCATCTGCCTGCTCTTCTAATAAGAAGCACTTGACGCTTTAACCCTAAGGTTGTCAAACATCCCAACAGATATTGCACTGTGTTTAGGAAAGTACCTCTTGATCGGAGAATGATGCCTCCAAAAATTATTAGCAAGTATCAAATATTCTTACTCCTCATCAGAGGTCAGGCCATCTGCTGCAGGTAAGATGTTACCACAGGGAACTCAGTAACATATTTAGCTACAGCTGTGCACAGAGCTCACGGTGCAGCAAAAGAGCGCGAGCCAGCAACTCAAGCTCCAGCCCAGGCCACTGGGGATCCCGGTTTGTTTAATTGCACCGCTTAGTTTACATTTCAATGGCTCCACATCCCGAAGAGCTTTGTCTAAGCCAGCAGCCTCGCAAACTGTGCTGCCTTAAGAAGGCCGGGCGGGAGGGGCGGACTCGCGCTCACATCTGAGCGCCAGCTGTAAGCAGAGCACGTTCCAGCAGCCTAGACGCAGGGCCCCACTCCCCCGAGAGAGAGAGACGGCCCGAGTCGGGCCCACGGCTCTCCCTCCCCGGGAAGCACTACCGGAGAAGTCACGCTGATTTCTGGAAAGGCTTTCCAGAAATCCCGGGCTTTCCAGAGTGCGGGGGTTTATCGAAGGGGGATGTGTCTGAACTCAGCTCAGACAAGGGGCCGCCAGGGCGGCAGAGGAGGAGGAAGCAGCAGCGTGGTGAGGGGCAGCCGGCGCCTGCCTTACCGCGGTCGTGGCGTTGGGCTTGGCCCCGTGCTGCAGCAGGACGTTGATGATGTGCGTGTGGCCCTGCTGGGCGGCCTGGTGCAAAGGCGTGTAGCCGTTCTGTGGGTGACGGTGGCGACGACGGCCCGACCATAGATTTGCAGCGGGAGAAGGAAAACTAGGTTAGCCTTCATTTTGAATCTCTTAGTCTTATTTACAGCAAATCCATCAAGGATGCCTTTTATTTGGAGCGCAGTATCACCACCACCCCATTTCTCACCAGCAAATACTCCCTCTCACCTTATGGTCTGCTAAACGAAGAGAAAAGACTAGCTGATGAAATAGACTAACAAACTCCAAATTATAGCTATTATTATATGTTAACTAATTAGCATTAAAAATGGGTATGCTGAGAGATTTCTAATGACAGAAGGGCATTATCACAATGATTTCTTCCCCGGGGAAAAAGAAAGAGTAAAATCTCAAAATCTTTTTAACGGAAAGATGCATAGGATATTTTCACAAGCCACTGCTTGTTTGTTAGGGCTTTTCTAATAATCTTTGGGCCAGCGTTAGGGGTTCTAAACCAACGAAAGGAAATCGAAATCTTCCATTCCTTTCAGAGAGCAGCTTTGGTCCAAGAAGAGCACACTTAGAGAATGGAACATTTCGTTGAAAGCTGAGTGGCCCACTTTCAACAAAAAATGACTTTAAGAATTAGGTTCTTTTTAACATCCTAGTCTGAACTTCCTCATAGCTGAAAGCTCTGTAATCCGTGATTTGTGAGGAGCTGCTGGTGAGGTTAGTGGGAAGCCAGTCTTGCTCAGAACTCCAGTGGGTGGCAGGTAGGACACAGGTTGGTTGCATATTCATGTTAATTAAACAAAGGGCGCCAAATCCTTGGAGGCACAACAAAGCATTACTATCTATTATTCATTGAACATTCACTTTGTGCCAGATACCAGACCTTATATTTGTCTTTTAATCTTTGTTATCATCCTAAAAATGAAGGTGCTTGGTACATAGTTGGTGTCCCATAAATAATGAGTGACTGAGTAAATAGATGATTGGATAAATGAATATTTTTCTTCCTGTGTCAGAGGTGATTAAATGGAAAACAACAGTTAAATCATTTCTTTGTGATCATTCTAGGTTCAGAACCTGTATAGATCACAATGGCCAATGGCTATCAGACTACTTTTTTATTATCTCCCTGCCTCATCCTGATAAAATTTCATCTATATATTTGAGACCCCATTGTCTGGGTTCTAAGTTCTGAGTAGTCCATTCATACCATGAACTTGTAGGAATATATATCCCTTTATCTAGTGTCACTGCTGCCTCGTGACCAATACTACTCCTATCTACATGAAGTGTCTGTATGCACAAGGGGCCACGTGATTCCTTCTATGCTTTTGCTGTGGCCCTTTTGTCCATGGGGATGTCCCCACATGTGTGAGAGTCTATCAGTCTGAGAGCCTTTCAGTCTAGAACATCATCAGCCCTGCCATGTTTGGTATTCATCCCTGCAATGGAATCACCCCAGGCAACCTGGAAATATAAACCGATTACAGGGACTCTGAGAAACCTGCTATTGCAGGGACTCTGCTCTCAAATAAAGTAATTCATGGACATCTGAGATGCATAAAGTAGTGATATTTTTTTTCCCGAAAATTCTTCCTTTCCATTGTTTACAAATGTTCCACCAACCAAATTTAGTTCACCTCTTCAGTATCAACCAAGTTTAACAAGCATTTACTAACCACATGTTATGTGCTAAATAAGAGACACTGTGCTTCCATAAATTAATAATGTCAGAGTAACATTCTTGCCCCCAAGAGCTCACATTTTTCAATTTGTCAATGGACATCATAGCCAGGAAAATGTCTCCCGGGCCTGACTTAATTTAACCTTTACCTGAAGCCTCTGGTGCATGAGTATATTTGCCAGGGAAGTCTGGAGGAACTCAAAAACTTTTACATGAACATTTGGTTGCAGCTTACCCATGGTCTTACGCCCATTCTGCTAGGAGCTCTTGACCCAGTTCTGCCAACTTTTAGCATATCCCAAAACCCCTCTAACCCTTCATTTTCTCATTTGCAAAATGGGAATGGCCAAGATTTCAAGTCTGGTGAAGGATCAGATGTGCTGTCTGTGTAACTTTGATTTATCTAAAGTTATATATGCTAAGAAACATTTTGGTATTTTTTTCTTTCTCATTGAAGAATTCTATGATCTTTGCATTATATTTCACAAAGAAAATTTTCTTTTACATGCTGAAGTTCTAAACCCTTTTCGCAAATTGATCATATAATTAACCAAATCTGGGTTACCGCAAGCTGATGTTATAGCGTTTCATTTTAATTTTAAGCAACTAATAGGCCCATAAAACAAGTTCACTTTTCTAAGTTCTTATACCAAATCATGAATGTTTGAGGGGAAAGGCAGTACATATGTTTACATTTTCACAGCAACAAAACAAATTTTTAGTAACCATAGTTACATGAGATGTGAGGCAGAAAACATAAATCCTTTTCCAAAAATGCCATTTGATGTGAAAAAAATTCTGAAGTGTTTATTAAAAGAACATCTTTTGATTTATGTATCTGTCCACTCCTCTGAAGACATATTAAAAGAAATATTTTCTTCCAGAAGCAAGTCAAATCTACACAGTTCAATTTTTAAAAACTTGAAAATTTTAAATGAGATTTTTCTCTCAACCAAATGTCTATGTGATTGTATACCAAACCCCAAGCGGGTAAATGACGTTATCTAGACAATATGTCTGGCTTGTAAATATTATTTCAACATTGACACACTTAACAAAAGTCTACAGTAACTGTTTTCAAGTTCCACCAAAGTCTCATTGCAGAGCTACCATTATTCCTCTCAGAAGACCTGGATTCCAATAAGAATGTCTGTCCTGGGGGCACCTGGGTGGCTCAGTCGGTTGAGTGTCTGACTTCAGCTCATCTTTAGTTTCAGCATCGGGCTTGCTGCTGTCTGTGCAGACCCGACTTTGGAGCCTCTGTCCCCATCTCTCCCTGCTCCTCCTGCACTCATGCTCTCTCTCTCTCAAAAATGAATACAAATTAAAAAAAAAATGTCTTTCCTGTATGCTTAAGTGTGATCTGACTCAGCAGAAATGGGGTTGGGTGCTAATACCCAAGAATTCATCTTCGACCTTTTACATGATCTCTAAGTACAATTTCATGAAAAGTCCAGAACTGCTCAGAATCTAGGCAGCAGCTGTTCCTCCCAGAGTCACATGAGAAGTTTTGAATCTTAAATATCAATAGTAGTAGTTATGATTTTCAAAACAACTATTTTTCATTTGTAAATATGCTTATGTACAGACATGATTGTGCTTCTGCTTCTAAGAGGATATAAAAAGACTAACTTCCAAAACTTACGTTTCTAATTATTAGCATCTTTGAACGATGACTTTGAAAACTCTTGAATGCGCTCACACTAATTTAGTCGAGCCCACTCACATAGCTGCAATAAAGAATTTCTGATATATAAACTTAAATGAACAAACATGTAATTACATATTTCTTTGGACCAAAGAACCTGGAGCTGCAAGTTATATTAGCCATCGTAGCAGTAGCTATATTATTCACTTCTCTTTCCCTTGAAACAGTTTGAGTGCCTGGAAGTATGGTGTCATGCTCCAACCTTGTTTTGCTGAGTAGGACCTTTCAGTTGCCACTAGAAAAAACATCTAGGCTCAGGTCAGCTCTGCATTATCCTTGAGAACTTGCAACCCAGGCCTTACGCACCATTGCCTTACTAAGCATTACCACGTGATAGTCCAAATGTGACAGAGTTGGTGGGATCGGTGGGGATGTAAACTGATGCAACCACTATGGAAAACAGTATGGAGGTTCCTCAAAAAATTAAAAATAGGACTACCATATGGTTCAGAAATTCCACTTCTGGGTATTTATAAGAAAACTAAAACATGAACTCAAAAAGATAATCTGCACCCCCGTGTTCATTGCAACATTATTTATAATAGCTAAGATATGCAGCAAACTAAGTCCCCATCAATGGATGAATGAAAAAATAAATACAATTGCACATATACACACACACAATGTAAATCATTCAGCCATAAAAATGAATGAAATCTTGTCATGTGCGACAACATAGATGGACCTGGAGGGCAACATTCTAAGTGAAATAAGTTAGAGAAAGAAAACACCATATGACTTCACTTCTGTGTGGAATCTAAACAAAACAAAATCCAAACTCATAGATACAGAGAACAAATTAATGGTTGCTAGAGGCAGGGGGTGGGGAGTTGGGAGAAACAAGCGAAAGGTATCACAGGGTAATAAACATTTTTTAAGTGAAATACAATGGATTTAAAGTTTACATGATATTGAGTGTCCTGTGTTCAGCTATATCCTCTGTATTTAGAGGGTGAGATCCTTCCCTCAAGGGTGAAGAAGAGGTGGTTAGAACATACCCAACCTTTTATCATGCGTCACCAATAAAAACACAGAGATTTAGAGGTATGTACTGCTAATAAAAATGTTGTACACACACATTTAAAAGGGAAGCACTATTGCTATTCACAGGACATAGTATAGGAAAATACTGTTGTGAGAAAGTGAAGCACTGATAAGCTAGTTTAGTTGTAGGGAAGTTATGAAGTGGTCTTCTGGCAACTTAGTTCAGGTCACAATATAGAGACTCGAAAACAAGGAAAAGGATGACTAGGTGAGAGAACTCAAGAGGATTTCATAGCATGGAATAAATGTCAGGTAGGAGACTGAATGATGACTGATAAGATTTTAGGTACAGTGAGTTGACATTAATGACCTATAGTGATGTAGAAGTTAGATCATTATACCATAGCTTTGAGAGCTTTGGCCCTGAGGCAGACTGTCTGAGTATGAATTCCAATTCTTCCAATATATACTCTTGTGACCTTCGATAAGTTATTTAAATTCACAGTGTAAAATGGAGATAGGACTAGCATCTGACTATGAGGTTATTTAGGGATTAAATGATTTAATATAAATAAAGTCATATATAATGTATATGTGACTCACAGCTTGCATTTAATAAATATTAGTTTAAAATTTTTTTTAAAAAATGAAAGGCTCAGGGTCTAGGCTGCATGTCTACATTTCTTCATGTGGAAAGAGGGGGTGACAGGAAGGCAGGCCAAGGCCTTGAAACAACATGAAGAATCAGCCAGAATATCAAAGTGTTCTAACAGGCTTTTATTGTATTCTGCAGTAAATTGTTAACTGGATATGAGCTACTTTAACTCTACAATAAAAGTAGTTCTGAAGCTAACCTACCTGGCTGTCAAAGGTTATGAGAATGAAAAGCCTCAAACAATTGTACAAAACTATATTGCTTATTCAAAATCACTTCAGAAGAACTAAAAAGAAAAAAGTACATTTGTAGCTATGGTGAGCTAGTGAAGTGTCCACAAGGCAGAAGCTTTCTGCTTATAGAAAATAAAAATGAGTACACATATTTTACCTTGGTTTTTGCGTTGACATTCGCACCCTGCTTCAGAAGAAAGTTGACCATTTTCACATTTCCATAGTGACAGGCCACAATTAAAGGAGTGTAACCAAGCTAAAATAAATAAATAAACAAACAAACAGACAAATAAATAAGTACTCTTAATGGTTAATACTCAAGGAGAGAGGGATTAGGTAGAATTTCAACTATGGTATGATGGGTAGAAATTCTATTCCACTGTGTAAGTATTACTTAGCAGATTATTGACACTTTCTGTGGATACAAATATGGACTGAAGCAGATCCCGGAGCACATGGAACTTCAGCAAAGGGAATTAGACACGTGTGTGACTTCATCTGACAAAGGCCCAAGAGAGACACAAATAACTGAATCTGAAAACAGAGATGAGAGATGGAGTCTGATAGCCGGATGTGGAAGAGATACATGAAAAATGTAGCTTAGGTGGGCTTGAAAAGTTTCATGGCATAGAGAAGGAAAAGCCAGTTTAAGACCAAGGGCTTGGAGGCAAGTAAGCACAGGAAGAAAACAGCAAAGTCACCTTGACTGGCAGAAGCAATAAGGGAGAGAGGGTGGACTTAAGCCAGCACTGTTTTAAAGGGTCCTGATATCACCATCTCCATTTAGACTGGATTCCAGCAAAACTGGAGAACCGTTATAGATTTGTGAGCAAAACAGAGTCATAATTAACTCAGAATGGACTTTTGAGGAGAGGGGCTTGGACTTGGGTGACCTAAATGGGGGCTACTGGGAGTCATCCAGTTCAGAACCTGTCACACTATTCAAGGTGATTTGCTTTACCTTTGTGTGAGCATCCTGGTCAGCCCCATGCTTAGTAAGAATGTCAGCAACATTCACTTTATCTTCCTGGGCTGCAAGATGTAAAGATGTGAGTCCACTCTAGAGAGAGAAGGGAAGCAAATGGGTATATTTGGAAAAGAAAATATATTTCATCATCTATAATGTCATAGCTATTAAAAAAATCCCAGAAAATTCACAGGGTCTCCCAGAACCTGCAACTTTTGATATCTAAGACAAACCCTCAAAGTTAATATGTCTTTCCATTTATGACATATTCTCTAAGTTAATCAACACTTTCAATAACAAATTACATTTTCTACATTTGGGTACTTATAATGTACTTAAATATTTATATTATATATGATGTATTTATATTATATTATAATGTGCTTAAAGTAACTCAGCTAATAAGCTTCCAAACAACATTCATTTTTTTTTAACGTTTATTTATTTTTGAGACAGGGTCACAGCACGAACGGGGGAGGGTCAGAGAGAGAGGGAGACACAGAATCTGAAACAGGCTCCAGGCTCTGAGCTGTCAGCACAGTGCCCGATGTGGGGCTGGAACTCACGGACTGTGAGATCATGACCTGAGCTGAAGTCGGACACGTAACCGACTGAGCCACCCAGGCGCCCCAACATTCATTTCAAATCCATCTGTGCCACCTGCTGAA